AATTGAAAAACAGTACCATATACTCATGTTTGAGCATGTCCTTCCCTCTTTGGAACAGGTTTAGTATGCAGCATAACCTATTGTCTTACCAAATCAATCAAGTTTAAGATTCTTCCTCACAACACTTACATTACCAAACAAAAAGGAAGAAAAAAACGCATCAAATCAAGTAATCATAAAGGCCTAATTCTCAGACCCAAATGCAGTAACAAAGTTCAAACTTTTATTGAGAACTTTTTACAGAGCTGAACAAAAACAGGCAATGAATCAGTATAACCACACAAAGGACATTCTCACCATAGGTGAATAAAAATATAGAAAAACAATCAAACCAAATTTCCAAAAAGAAAGGAACGAAAAATAGTTAAAAGATATAGCTCACTGATATGAATATCTATAACCTCCTCTTTGAGCTGTTCATACTCTTAGCAGAAGCCTCAGGAACAGAGAATTCAGAGTGTATGTCCATGAAAAACCTGTCCACAATTTCAAGATAAACAGGACTTCTTAAGCGAGAGTAGTAATGAATTGCTTCTTCAATATCCAACTCTTGTTCCATATCTCCTCTATCCAACATCTCCAACTCCTTCATTTTTTGTACTAATCCATCACTTCTCCTACTACAGCTTTTAACATCACCTTTTCTGAAATGGGTATTTCCTTGTTTCTTCTTCTCTTTCACAGCCTTCTCTTGTCTGATCCTTGGAAGGCCTTGTTCCTTCATGTTTTCCTTGGATGTTCTCACACTGCCTCTGTCAATGCTTCTCTTTGCTGCTTTATGCAGTGTGGACTGCCACTCATCATAAAAATCAATGTAGATTCTCTCTGTTGGATGGGTATGCTGTGGCTGTGGGTTTCCTTTTCTGCATGGAAAGAGGAGGAAGGAAGTGGGTTTCTGCAGCTTTTGAAACCCTTTGAAGAATAAATGCTTGAAGTTTTCAAGAGTTTTGTGGACGGTTTCTTTTAGCAGCATTTGGATGTTTGCAGTGTAGTACAACAATCACAGGGCTTTGTTAACTCTCAATATGTTCACTAAATATTTCAGCAACACAGATAAGAAAGATGGAGACAAATCATGTTTCACGCAGTTACCTAAAGACAAAGCCAGAGCAAGTAGAAGCTCCAAGTCTTGCCTTTAAGGGCGATTCTCTCTGTCTAAAAGTAGAAAATCTTAACCGCTTGAACTTTGATAATAGATAGCACGGAATCCCATAAGCTCTTGAATGCTCGGTTTGACTACCTGTTGTGTAAAGAGCTAGGCATTAACTAAGATGCAAAGCTAAAGATGGTGGGTTTCTAAAAGTGTAATGCCATTAAACCGACTATTCAGGCATGTACCTAATTGTTGTAAAGGCAATCCCCGACCCATTAAGGACCCATTTGGCAAATGGTCCCAGCAAAAGATTAAAGAGAGATGTCCCAATGGAACAAAAGTTCATAGTATTCTGGTTTTAATCATGTTACAGAAAGGCTTATTCAAATTAGCACAGTCAATTCACCATGATCATCAAAGTTTGAACGGTAGAGATGACAATCAATACAGTAATTGAGAGAATTTTAAATTTTAAAGAGAGAAAAAGTGAGACAAGAATAATTCAAGCGTGGAAAATGGCTACCAATCAAGAACATACCAATATGAACATAGCAAAGGTATAGCTCTGAATCCCGCCTCTGTTGTTAAATAGTTTCAAGCAATGAAAAATACTGTTTGTGTAGGCCCGTGCTGTGGATTCAGGTCCATTTTATTGAGTAGGATCGGCAGATTCTTGTTGAAACTATGGGCGCTGAGAGTTTTAGCTTTGAACAACTCGAACACATTCTGCATTAAATTTCATTCAATGCAGTTGAAAAATCATGTTCATACTTGTGTGAGGGCCTTTGGTCCCCAATAAGCAAAGATATTGGCACTACCATTCTTCTCAATAGTTGATAGGATAAGGTGCCTCACTGATATTTTAGAGCAAAGTCATTTTCCGAGTAAAAGTGTAATAACTCAAGCCCACCGCTAGTAGATATTTTTATTTTTTTATTTTTCTTTCCGGACTTCTCTTCAAAGTTTTCTAAACGCGTCCGTTAGGGAGAAGTTTCTATATCATTATAAAAAAATGATTCGTTCTCCTCCCTAACTAACGTGGGATCTCACAAAAAACAACTCAACTCAATTCAACCCCCTAAACCAATCTCGTCATTGTCTTAACTTGTTTTAGAAAAAATCATAAATCTGCTAGACTCAGAAATTATTAACTTGACAACTTACAACCACAGGCACTACTTGAAGGACCCGTAGGAACCTGGGTTTTCTTTTGTTAGAGAAACCATCAACCACATCACAGACATTATTTGACAAAGGGTTAAAAAACACATTTAGTCCTAAAAAGATGACAATTTAGTACTTAAACTTTTCTTTTTGAATGGTACGGAAACTAAATTATTGCAAAATTTGAAGACTAAATAGTTACTTTTTCTTTAGTTGTTGTCTAGTTGGTTACCTGGAAAAAGAATCGGTAATCATGAGCTTTTGAATAACCAAACTGTTGCTTGATATGACAGCAAGATTTGGCAAAAGTTGCAGGCCAAATCATGATAATCTATTCAGTAAAAGAAAACAAATCAGTATGGTACTCATTCAAACTGAAGATGTAGCATAGCATACAATAGGTGGCAGTACATCAGCAGTGAAATACACAAGGCAAAGCTAGATCTTATTACTCAATACTGACACAGCAAGACTCCCCAAAATAATGTGTATAGATCCAATGTGCTAAACATCTTTGGAGCAGTAACGGTTCAAGTTAACCGCAAGCAGATATTGTCTTCTTTAGACTTTTAATTCTGGACTCTCTCATGGCTTAAAACGCATCTACTGAAAAGAGGTTTCAACACCCTTGTAAAAATGTTTCGTTCTCCTCTCCAACCAATGTGGGATCTCACAATCCACCCCCTTGGAGTCCTAGCGTCCTCACTGGCACATCACCCGATAACTGACTTTGATACCATTTGTAACGGCCCAAATTTACCGCTAGCAAATATTGTCCACTTTGGGCTTTCCCATTTGGGCTTCCTCTCAATGATTTAAAACGCGCTACCAGCGAGAAGTTTTCACATCCTTATAAGGAGTAGTTCGTTCCCCTCTCCAACCAACGTGAAATCTCAAACAAACAAATGGAACAAAGCCACCCACCACTAAAATCTGTTGGGAACAAATATAGATAGGGACCAGAAGTGCATTTTTGGTCCCATAAGAAAGATACCAATATGTACTTCTTTAAGTTAGCTTATTTCACAGATCCTACAAATTCATTCACGAATCTCAGTTACAGCTCATTTGACCTTTCCTACTGGGACCAATTGCTATAATCTAAATTACCGCTCAAAATAAGACAACGGTGAAGAAAGGGCGTTTTGTGCCTTTCTGGAAGTTTGTAGGGCAATATGTATCTGTTCCCAATAATAACGACAGATTCAACATAAATTTCTATTACGTGTTCACTGTCCAATCTTTCTATTGAGTTTAAGAAACTGATGTAACCTTTGATAGATTTCACCATAATTCTCAGTTGAAGAAATGGGACAGTCTTTAATCCACTTTGGGAACTTGTCAGCTCGGTGTGAAAAACTTCTTTTTGAGGAATCAGATGCGTAATGAACATCGACCGATAAAATTGCTGCATAATCATTGATAAGTCGAATAGCTCTACCTGTAATAAAGGCAAAGAAAATGCGCGTTAGATTCAGACAAATGAAATGCAATGGCTTCAAAGTAAAGAACGCTTCATTATCACCAGAAATCTTACAAAATTAGGGCGGACTATTGATTCAGTGCGCGAGGATTATTCATACAGAGCCTGATCACGATCTCACACCGAAGCGAGATTTTGATTCGCGTAGTACATGGGGCCAAGGTTCGAGCATAATCACGTCAACTAAATGAACCAATGCCAATACTATTTTTATTGGTGGGAGACATTTTGGAAAAATAAAAATTAATTTAATGAAAACTTATGCTCAAAGTTGACAATATTATACCATTGGAAAGGTTAGTGGTTCTTAATATAATATCAGAGCCATGCCCTTTTTCTTAGTTATGTTAATAGAATCCTCAAGGTCAAATAAAGAAGTTGCGAGCTTAGGAGGTGTAATCAAAAGTGACTTTAAGTGTCAAATAAAATGTGTACTTTGTTTGAGGGCTCCAGAGAAAGGAATCGAGCCTCAATGAAGGGGAGGCTGTTTGAGGGCTCCATAGGCCTCAGGAAAGACTCTATGGTATACTTAGTTCGATGGGAGGATTGTTGATGATTATTTAAATGAGTATTTCCACCCGACTAATTAAGAGGAAAATGGTATCTTCATTAGTATGAGGCATCTTGGAGAAACCAAAAGTAAAGTTAGAGAGCTTATGCTCAAAGTAGACAATGTCATACCATTGCGGAGGTTCCTAATTCCTAACATTGTATCGAGTCATGTCCTTAACTTAGTTATGTTAATAAAATCTTTAAGGCGAACAAATAAGTTATGAGCCTCGAAGGTATAGTCAAAAGTGACTCAAGTGTTGAATAAAGAGTGTTCTTTGTTTGAGCTCCAAAGAAAAGAGTCGAACCTCGATTAAGAGAAGACTCTATGGTGTAGTTTGTTTGAATATTTTAATACTAAAACAAAATAAATATATAGAAAAAATACTTATTTTATTATTAGTCCTACAAATATAGGTATGGAAGGAAAAAAATCCATATAAAAAAACTATAATAGGCAACTTATTTCATTATTATTATTAAAAAAAAAAAACAAAAAAACAAAATGAGCCTAATATAATAATTCGTTTATTTTTAACTGAGGTATACAAAATAGACTAAATCTGACAATGGGCCGAACGCCTTAAATATTAATTGGGCTGGAAACTTTCAAGCTTCCGATATTGAGCTGGCCCAATATCTTACCCAAGGTCGTGGTCAAAGATTGGGCCGGCCCATCATAATTGTCAAGCTCAAACCCTAAACGCTGTCATTCGGTCATATAAAACAGCCATTTTCTCTTCTGGAAGCTGCAGATAGAACTTTTCCACCCTAGGGTTTCTTCGTCCTGCATCAATGGTACATTACTTTCTTCTCTGTTTCGATTTATGCTTCTGTGCAGTTGGATTCGTCGTTTTATTCTTGCTCGATTAATCTACAGGGTAAGGGTACGGGAAGTTTTGGTAAGAGGAGGAACAAGACCCATACTCTCTGTGTGCGGTGCGGCCGCCGCAGCTTCCATCTCCAGAAGAGTCGGTGTTCAGCATGTGCTTTCCCTGCTGCCCGCAAGCGAAAGTGTAAGCACACTCGATGTTTCGCCTTTTTTGTCACTGTTCACTTTCTATAATTCGGTTTAAATCGACTATTTTGGCGTTTGTTTATTTTGATTCAATGTAATGCTGCCTTGAGTAACCATTGATGTGTATGGTAGTTAGTTGCTAGTGTTATTGTATTAAGCCTGATAAGATGGTTGAGTCTGCGAATGTGAATGAGGTTCATTTGTTCGCTGGAGTAACGTGAAGTGATCATATTGATTTTGGTTTTCCGTGGAGATTGAATTAATCTTGATTCATCTCGTTGGCGTTGGGATTATTTAGATAACTGGAGTGTGAAGGCCATTAGGAGAAAGACAACCGGAACTGGAAGGATGAGGTACATGCGCCATGTTCCGCGTAGATTCAAGAGCGGCTTCAGAGAGGGTATGATATTGTATTTGTAATTGATTCAATTTTTCGCACCATTTACTGCATTTACGTACTGGGTTTCAGAATTACCTGGGTTTTCATGCCTTGAAATTGCTTTGTGTTTGTCATTAGGTACTGAAGCTGCACCCAGGAACAAGGGAGCTGCAGCATCAGCATAAGGTTTTGGAAGGAGTTCAACTTAATTTCAGTTCCCAACTATAGCTTTCAGTAGGGGCTTTACTCGTCTGAGGATCATTTCATATAATTTTGTTTTCTAGTTTTGCCTTTTCATGATTTAGTTGAACGCGGTTTCTTTAATATTTAATGTTTTGAAATTTGGACAAAGATGAATCAGATTATTCGTACTCTGCTACTTGTTTTTGTGCTATTTTTAGCGTGTTCTTATTCTTCCCCATCCTTCCAAGATTATTTTCAGCAAGTGTTGGGATGATCGATGTTGAATCACTAGATTGAATTAGTTCATTTCGAAATTGTTTAAATCTTGCCTAGGAGTAGTTTGTTTTGGTTCCCCATCCCCAGACGCTCCCTATCTGAAATGATCAATTTTGTCGTCATAACCTGTTCATCGTTATCAACTAAAGCTTCATTTTCAACTGTTATCAACTAAAGCTTCATTTTCAACTGTTATCAACTACAGCTTCATTTTCAACTTTACGTAGACGTACTATTGTATGATTAATAATGTAAGGTGAACTTGTTTGCTACATTTTTATGAGCTCAAGTAACAATGGTGAATGGCGATTGTTACCGTGTTCATTCTGCTATTGAACTTGTATTTGTCAGTGCTTGGAGTTGTTTTGATTGAACATCAAGTTTTTTACTTTTGAAAGACGACTAATTACTAAATGTTTGGTTCTTCTAGGTGAATCACTTGAAAGCAGTCCTAAAACATTTGTCTTTGCAGTTCTCTAAGACACCAGTCTAGTCTGGCCAGTCTTGAATGTGTATTCTTAGTGATATCAGGGCACTAATAAGCTCGACACCAGTCTAGTCTAGCCAGAGTCTTGAATGGGTATTCTTAGTGATATCAGGGCACTAATAAGCTCATTTTAACAGTTCATATAACCATGAAGTAATTAATAGAACTAAGAGTTTCTCAAACAATTGAGAAATTTTGATAAAAGGTAATTTAGAAACTACAACCGAGGGTGGTGTATCTGTAAGGAGAAAATCTGTATAGAAAACAATGATACCAACCCGTTCGTTCACATGATGATTGCCAAAATTACACCAAATGTGCACAAATCTATGCCTATACAAACCACCACAATGAAAAAATATTAGAGGTACAGAAAAGAAACGCATTTCAATTGTTAGTACAGTACAACAGCCTATAAAAGGAGATAATTGCTACAATTTCCAAAAAGGGCCGTAAGCTCTGTGAACTTCAGAAACAAAAATGATTTGCGAGATGTAAGATAGAATTTTGGGGTAATCTTGTGCATGTCCAAGGCTGTAACCTGTGCATGATACAAAACAATCTTTAATGTTGTAGATCGAGTTTTCCGAACTTATCCTTTCGTTCGTGCAACTGTTTGAACACATAGTTAAGCTCCGGAAACAATGTTAACAGCAGCAGCTCAATGAGGTCCAGTGCCAACAGCTTCGTGCATACACCTGACTGTAGTTGTTGCATTTCACAAACTTAAGAACGAACAAGTCAATTTGATCAAAAAGAGAAGCTATTGCTCATGAGAAGCATGCAAATACCTGAAGGAAGTAATACAAATCCTTGGCACATTGCTCGTATTCCTTCCGACCAACGAGCCCCACGATAGCAGGTGGTGCATTAGCTTCAATATCAAATTTCATCATAAGTTGAAGAAGATCATAACGGATATGTTAATGTGAAGCAACTCTAAATGCTAGTTGTTCTTGAGACTTAAGAACAAAAAAGTGTGAACATACTAATCATTAGGTCATACACGAACTTTGCACGACGATCAGCTTCCTGTTGTTGCAGTTCCTCAAGGGACCGAGGAGATAGGATTTCGTTCGAGTTGTTGTCGGAAGTTGAACCTTCAGATTTCGGTGGCTGCTTCGGGCGCTTGCTTATGAATACTCCATCAGGCCACAGTATCTGTTCGATCACACCATCCAATACCCCTCCATCAATTAATCAAAGTATGAAAGTAGCTCTTTTCATTTTATTTCATGTCAGGTAAACTTGATTTATGATTTTACGAAAGAAAATAATGTTATAGAAAATCAAGTTACAAGAACAGTTCAAGAAGAAATGAAGAACAGGAGAGGTACCTGCTCAAGACGAGAGATGGCAGAGGCCATGGAAGATCCCTTGCGGAAACGCTGAATTTTCTGAATCAACCAATCCTCAAGAGCATCCCCCATTCCCAGTTGCAGCACCTGTTTTGCCACCCAAAACGCCTTTCTCCTATATTTTCAATACCACACTCCCCATATTATCAACCTACCAAAATTACTAATCTACAAAAAAATATTATACAATCAATCAATCAATCAATCAATGAAACACAAATCTTCTAAATCCAGCACCTGATCCATCCCCCATCTTGAAGCTGGAATATCACATCCACCAAGTTAAATATCGGCATTGTCAAATTCGGCGGCACCCACTGCAATAGTTCCAAATCAAACATCGCATGTTACCCCTCAATCGACTACGCTTATATAACTTACTCCTCGTTCACATTTTTCTGTTTCATTCATTAACGTTCAAACACATGGTATTTTCGACTCAATAACATACATTTTGATGTCACTTCATCATTTTCATCAATGAAATTTAACATTCGGGGAGAGTAAGAACTCAATTGCAAAAGAACACATAACTAAGAAATTCAAAATTCAAAATATTTGAGGGCAGCTTAAAGAATGACACCAGATTTAGCCTACAGAAAATCAGTACAGGATTGAACATTGTATGTATAGCTACAAAGAAGCTTGAAAACAATGAAAGGAATTCAAGATTACCTCTGTAGGCAACATTGGATCAGTAGCAGCATCCAGAAGTGATTCAGAAGCCACTCCCGATCTTTCATTCTCTTTCTGGCTCTCAGTTTTCCCACAGTTTCTATTAGGCAATGTTCCATTCTCCTTCTGATTCTCAGATTTCCCGGAGTTTCTATCAGGCAATCCACTCTTCTCCGTAGTAGCATCTGAATCACTATCAGAGTTGTCAAAAACAATTTACATACATTCTGAAAACTTGTTTTTACTGGAGAAGGGGACATGCCTTTTGTGTTCAATCTCAGGCCATTTTCCTGAAATTTAGTCTTCACCCGCAATTTAGGCTCAAAGGTTTCAGCAATTGCATGGTCTTTCCTCAGTGGTGATAACCCTTGGTTTATAGGGCTGTTCGGGTTTGAAACGCTTCTATTATCTTCATGGGGTTTATCAGCTAGATCAACTGTAACATTTTCCAACAAAAATGATATAACAGACTAGAACACAAATAAAGGGTATATAGATTAGTCACATTCAATAATCCTAATTCAATATGGTTTACCTGTAAAGGTTTCAATGATGGAAAACGAGTTCAAGAATATGTATGTCTGCAACATATAAACATAGTTACATAAATTAAACATCCGGACAGGAGGTGCCACTGATATCCAGCAGGGAAGTAAAGATTTAACCTGGGAATCAACACTTAGAAAGTCCCAAACTTCAATAGATCCTGAAATTTTCGGGAGCTGTATAAGCCTCTGAAGAACAACAGGAAAAAAAAAAAATTGGTCAAAAGGATTAAAAAAAGGACTTAACTATCACATAGACGAAACGACCTCCGAGAAATAAAGAGAGAAACAAATCCTTATAAGCATAGTATACTACACTCAACTCAATAGAGCTGAAACATACATTAGCCACAGTACCAGAATCTCTCATCAGAAAAGTTAAAAAAAAAACGAAAAACGAAGAACAAACTAGTTCGTGAAAATAAATAGATCCAGTTGAGAAATCATGACCCTTTAAGCAGGAAAAAGAATGTGAGTTAAGACTGCAGAAAAAAAATAAAAACAGATAATCAAGTAAGACGAATTTGGACCTTTAAGTATTTATCAAGTAATTCACATCGTTCCTGAATAACTGGTAAATCTAATCCGGTGGAAAGAAAATGTTTCGGCGGCAAATGTAAATTGTACTCTGAAAACTCTTTCAGACGTCTATGCAACTCCTCAAAATGGCTGAACCTACAAGAATAAGAAAGGCAAGTGCATGCAAAAGGTTAGAAACCAATTAAGGCATTAATAAATAAACCCAGAGAGTTTGTATTAAAAACCTTCTCTTGATGGACCAGCTATTGTAATTATTTACATCGGTAACAGATATGGAATATACAGCGAATGTCCTTGAACCACTCTTTACTATATTTGCACCCACCACCTGCATAAAAAATAAACTCGCAGCGACATCATTTATGCAAACGAAATTTCAACGTGCTCAAAGTATGAACTATTAAGATTTATTAAGAAAAAGTACCTCACATTTCAGCCTAAAGAAGGAATCGACCATCTGAGAACTATGAGTGTAATCTATAGGAGGAACATGGGAAATTGAAGGAACACATGAAGAAGCCGCTGCTCCACTATGGATTCTTACTGAACTCTCCATATCAGAGTCATCACTAGAGTCCTCGTCATTTACGGGCCCTAGTGGAGAATTTAGAATATCCTGTCCATCACCAGATATAAAGCTTGTTCTCTCAACCTCCTGCCAAACAGGCAGCTTCTCACTGTTATGGCGGGATCTTTTCCTTCCAGACTGATTCCTGGATGGCTTATTATAATGATCTTTACCTTTACCACCTGCCTTCTTAAGTCCAGAACCATCAGAACTCTCGAGCGGGTGATGAATGTGAGAAATTCCCGCATTTCTATTGTTTTTAGTATTCCAAACTTTGGTTCCAGGAGAGTCAAGGCCTGTAACATCACTTGTTTCCTCATCTTCAGAAGTATTTCCATCTGAGTCAAGATCATTTAGGTGCACGTCATCACAACCATTGCCTTGATAATGCAACATGGTAAAGTTACTTAATGTGTTTGAATTGGTTCGACAAGATGAGCCATAAACTGTAGGCGAGTCAGTAACGCCCAAGTGAACAGTGTCATTCTTAGAGCAATTATGCTTGCCCACATTTTCTCTATCAATTGTTTTAGAGATTATCTTATCATGATTCACAGAAACTGAGACAGGTTTCCCTTGAAAGAGGCCTTGTTGGACATTCTTGTTTGATTGACTCTCATCTTTTGTTTTGTAGTTTCTCCCTTTTGCCCACATGTTTTCAAAATGCTCAGGAGCTAGGGCCTTGACCTTTCTACGAGAAAACTGATCCAATTTTTCACCCCATTCTCCAGTAGAGCTATGTCTCTGGATAGTGCTTTCTTCAACATTTTGGGATGTAGGAGGCACC